CCAGATCAGCCCCTTACTATTCAGTTCGGTACATTACCTCCTGTCATGGCTAATAACTATTTACTAGCCAATGAGTTCAAGAATAAAGAGAAAGAAGAAAAAGAAAGAGAGGATAACGAAGGAGAATCATGCGTGCTGGAATATGAAGAAGGCCAGACTTCTAGAGAGGCTTACAATGGTGAGAAAGATGATAGTATGATAGACATTGAAGAGGAAATCGATCTGGAAGCAAAAAGAAGAAGAAGAGGAGTATCGTACAATACTCTGTTGAAACAACTACATCGAGAGGGAGTTCGTGAAGTAGACTTATTGGGAGAACCATCTGGGCGTTCTTTCGATTTTTACGTGCTGTAAGGGACGCCCAAAAGGAAGAAGAGAGTGCTTTGCTCTGAAAAGTATGGATCACCTCCAAGAATAATGCCTCTTCCCACAGGTTGGGTAACTGAAGATGAAGCATTAGAAAATAGTAAAAAGGAAATTCAGGAGACAGAGGCTCAGTGCGATATGCTGCACGTTGACTTATCACAAAAGGATAACTCGACAGAGGACAAGCAGGAAGTAGAAATAGAGGCTACTGAAAAGGTTATTTTTAAGCGGCCAGCTATGAAATTGACTAAACACTTGAGGTCATTGTACATTAAAACTCTAGTTAACGGCATACCTATGGCAAAAGTGCTTGTCGATAATGGAGCGGCTATAAACACCATTCCATCTAGGATGATGAGGAAATTTACAAAGACAGAAGGGGATATAATTCCAACAGAATCCATCCTTACAAGTTTCAATGGAGGAGTAACTGCAGCTAAGAGAGTTATGTCATTGGACATAACTATAGGGACAACTACTAGGACCACAGTCTTCTTTGTAATAGATGGTCCTACTAGTTACAATGTGTTACTAGCAAGAGATTGGATACACGAAAGTCGCTGTATATCCTCATCGCTCCATCAATGCTTGGTTTTTTGGAATAACAAGGGTAAAGCAGAGGTGGTGCAGACCGATCATAGGCCTTTTGTCGCAGAAGCAAACTCGATGAAAATGTTCATGTACGAATGAAACTATGGACCTGTCAGGGTAGTCCAAGATGGGGAAGAAACTCAGATTATTGCGCAGAGTGAAGAGTCATTTTCAATGGACGCACTCACTGAAATGTTCAGTCAGATGAGGCCAAATATAGTGGCCCTAGAAGAGCCAGTAATTGGCAAAAGAATAATCAAGGAGTCTTAAATGAGTTCTAAGCAATAAAAGCAAATGACCGATATTCAAGCCTTCAAAGCCAAATTAATGGCTTCCAATAAAGAATACAAGGACAAGACGAAAGAAGAGGCAGCCCTGAAAGCATTGAAAGACAAATTAGCAGTATTCGAATTGGAACAAAGTATTGGCTGAGAAGTCAACAAGGTGGATTGTTTAGAGGAAGAAGTGCCTACAAGGGAACTGGATGATGAAGTAATCCGGATCATCAAGGCTAGATATGCTCAAGCACAAGACCCTCTGATTAAAGTAAATATTGGCAATAAAGGAAAAGATCGTCCAACATTCATCAGCCAGATGCTCGATCAAGAGTTTAGTGATAAATTAATCGCTTTGTTAAAGGAGTATAAAGTTTTTTTGCTTGGGAATATGAACAAATGCTTGGTTTAAATAGAGATTTGGTGGAACATAGATTACCAACTAAGCATAATTTTAAACCTCATAGGCAACCTCCCAGACAGTTTGCTCCTAATGTACTCCCTGAGATTAAGAAAGAGATAGAGCGATTATTAAAAGCATGCTTTATTAGAACAACCAGGTATGTCGAATGGTTGTCCAATACCGTGCCAGTACTAAAAAGAATGGTAAACTAAGGGTGTGCATAGACTTTAGGAATTTAAACATAGCCACACCCAAAGATGAATATCCAATGCCCACGGTAGACTCTTTAGTAGACTCAACTGCCGGACACGTCATGTATTCCTTCATGGATGGGTATTTAGGATACAATCAAATTTATATAGTTGAGGAAGACATACACAAAACTGCCTTTAGATGCCCTGAGTCTCTAGGATGTTTTGAATGGGTAGTCATGTCTTTCAGCTTGAAAAATGTGGGAGCAACTTATCAAAGGGCAATGAATTTAATTTTTCATGATATGATAGGCAAGTTTGTTGAAGTGTATGTAGATGATATAGTGGTCAAATCCATTAAAGAAGAGGACCATTTCGAACAGCTAAGATGTTCATTTGAACGAATGAAGCAATATAAGCTAAAGTTGAATCCCTTGAAATGTGCATTTGGTGTTAATGTAGGGAACTTTCTTGGTTTTTTGGTACACAAAAGAGGGAGTGAACTTGATAAAAATAAAGCGAAGGCCATTTTAGAGGCCAAACCACCTAGCAACAAAAAAGAATTGCAAAGGTTTCTAGGCCAAGTAAACTTTTTAAGACGCTTTATTTCTAACTGTGCAGGGCGAACTAAAGTTTTTTAACCACTTTTAAAGTTGAAAAATCGGGACAAATTCGTCTGGAAAGAAGAAAATCAAAAGGCTTTTGAAAGCCTGAAGACATATTTATCAAGTCCACCAGTGTTGGTGTCACCAATCCAAGGACGGCCAATGAAAGTGTATGTATCGGCTGAACAAGAATCAATAGCTGAAATGGTCGCGCAAGAAGATCAATTTGGTGAAGAGAGGGCGATTTACTACTTGAGTAGACGGTTAACAAAATGTGAATGTAATTACTCTGCTATCGAGAAATTATGTCTTGCATTGTATTTCACATATACAAAATTAAGGGCTTATTTACGGCCTGTAACCATTTATTTGATTTATAGAGTAAATTTGGTTAAGTATATGTTCTATCGCCCTATTTTACACCAAGGGGTAGGCCTTTGGACGTTAGCTTTATCAGAATTCGAAATACAATACATACCCCAAAAGGCAGTCAAAAATTAGGCTTTGGCTAATTTTCTAGCCGATCATCCATGCCTTGACATGCCTGAAGAAATTGAATTAGAAATCAATTCGTTCAACCTAAAACCTTGGGTGTTATATTTCGATGGGTCGAAAACCTCTAAAGGTGCAGGAGTAGGAGTAGGAGTAGTATTGATAAATCCTTTAGGATTTGCTACAAATTCGCATTCACTTTAGATAGGATGTGCACCAACAATCAGGCCGAATATGAAGCCTTAATCGTGGGCCTAGAACTAATGATAGATATGGGGGTAAAGAATGTAATCATTAGAGGCGATTCTCAATTGGTAATTCACCAATT